GGGGGGGGGGAACAGGCCCTCGCCTCGTGTAGAGGTGCGTCACGTTGTGGTCGGCGAGCCACTCGGCGCTCTTGGCGTCCAGCCCGACCCGCGACCCCACGTCGCAGGCAGGCTCGGCCTTCACCTAATCAATCAACCGTTATGAATTACCCGTAATCGTCGCAGGCGCTCGGCCTTCACCTGCGGCAGCAGCACGGCTCATCTCGGCTCCTCTCGGCTCCTCTCGGCTCCTCTCGGCTCCTCTCGACGCATCTCGGCGCATCTCGGCTCGCCTGCCGCAGCACCCTGCGCAGCACCCGCCGCTCTATCTCCGCCATGCGAGCCGCGTAGTCCACCTATCATTGTCTCCAACCGACTCAAGCCACAACTCCTTGGGTCTCCGCCACGGCGCGGTGTAGCCCGCCGGGGTCGGGGCGGGGCCGCGCCCGAAGTAGGCCCCTAAAAGGGAAAGGGCAGGAGGGAGGTCGGGTGAGCGTCTGCCCTCCCCACCCACACACGCCAGGGTGGTCGGGTAAGGAGCAAGGGAGCAAGTCACCGCGCATCAGCGCGTGCGCCGCCGCCGCGATGGCGCCGCACTCGGCTCCGTTGCGCACGCACCACGCCGCCTGCTAAGGACGGATGATCGATGAAGAATGGGCGACTCGGCTCCGTTGCGGTTCAAGCGCCACTGCCGCCTTGTCGGCTGCGTCGGACAGGTCTTGCTTCAGCGGGAGGTAGTGGACGCCTATTAATTAATAATAATTCATAGTGAACTACTGTTATTAGTGACAGGTCTTGCTTCAGCGGGAGGTAGTGGACGCCGGGTCGAGCGAGCGAGCCAACCCACACCTGGCCAGGACCCGAACCCTAACCCTAACCCTGACCATAGCCCTAGCCCTAGCCATGCGCTGCAGCGTCACCACTCTACAATTGGGCCATGCGTCAGTAGTCGTGCGTTTGGAGAGTCGCTTGAGGTCGTAGTTAACTAATTAATTAATTAATAATGAGTAGTCGCTTGAGTAGCTAGTAGTCGTGCTGGGCAACGGCTAGCCAGTCGCTTCACAGTTGCTAGCGAGTCGACCTCGGCGCTGGTCGGTGTGGGGATGAGGGCGGTGCTGCCGCTCGCGAGGACCCACGACATGGAGGAGGCGGCGCCTACTCATTATTAATTAATGGTTAGTGGTTAGTGATTAATTAACAAGCCGCGAGGACCCACGGCATGGAGGAGGCGGCGCCTGCTAATTATTAATTAGTGAGTTAGTTAGCTATGATCACCAATTTTTAATTATTACCCACGGCATGGAGGAGGCGGCGCCTGTCGGTACTCAACCATTAGCTCTGTCAGTTGTGATGAGGCGAGGGCCCGCGGCATGTGCTTGGAGCAGCGAGGAGGCGGCGCCGTTGCCCTCGAGGACCAACACCATCTTGTAGCCCGCCTGTCGGCAGTAGAGTGGCCATACCGTTGCTCTTTGACTGTCTACCTTGGCATCACCATCATCATCTCGCGGCCCGGCCGGTCAGTCAAGGCTGGCGAGAGGGTCTGACTCTCGTCGGTGCATCCTCAACATCCTCCTCTCGTCCTCAGCTCGCGGGACGCCTGCTCCGGGGAGATATGGGGAGATATGGGGAGATCACTCGCGGGGCGCCTGCTCGGCGGTGGTCAGCGAGATCTGGGGAGAGACTGGCGGAGATATGGGGAGGCATGGGGGAGATATGGGGAGATGTGGGGAGATATAGGGCCTGCTCGGCGGTGGTCAGCGAGCCCTTCGGCTCCAGTGCCCGCAGCGCCGCCTGCAGCAAACGGCAGGCAGTGATCTCACCACATCTCCCACCATATCTCCCGCCATATCTCCCCGTATCTCCCCAGATCGCCTTGCAGTTTGCGATCTGCTGGTCGACGCTGCCGCCGAGCGCCTGACACACGCGCACGCCACCGCAAAAGTGACCGCCAAGGGGCGCCGCACACGGTTGGTCCTCCGCCTTGTGTTCGGCGCCGACCAGTTGATTGGCAGCAGATATGGGGAGACATGGGGAGAGATGGGGAGAGAGACTAACCGGCCAGTTGATTGGCAGCAGGTGCGACATGGGGAGATATGGGGAGATATGGGGAGATATAGGGGAGGCATATGGGGAGATCGCTCGCCGACCAGTTGATTGGCAGCAGGTGCGACATGGCGCGGCAGGCGCGGTTGATGTTCGTGTCGCTGCCGGGCCGCACGAAGCCGACATCGAAGAGCGGGTTGCCTGTAGTTGAAGGGGTTCCATGGTCTTCCTTGCGTGTTGACGGTGGAGGACTGATATAACATGAGTGCTCGAGGAGCGGGTTGTGCCTGGTCCGTTCAACAAGGAGCTCTCGTGTGACTTCACTGCTTCGTTGCGGCCAACGACCGAGGAGGCGGTGGGAGTGCCTGTGTAGCAGCCACACAGTCATCAAACACGGTGCTTCGAGGTAGATTAGTACTCCGAGGAGTGCGAGGAGCGATGTGGCTGCCGCTGTAGTTCGCGACGAGCGCGGCGCGGTTCGAGTGCGGCCGGTCGAGGCCTAGAGGAAGGGAAGGGTCCGGGAAGGGTGCGGGAAGGGAAGGGTCCGGGAGAGGGTTCCGGGGGAAGGAGAAGGGTGAGGGTGAGGGCGCCTGCCCCTGAGGGTGCG